TTCCCGCACCATGATAATTAACGTTACTGGGTTTATATGAAAGCTTCTATGAGGGAACTTAATTAATTATGATTGATTAACGGGTGTCCCCAGCCAAAGCTGAAGCTGAAGCGACAGATTTTGTCACCGCGTTGAGAACACACTTGTGCTGGGGTCACAGCAGGGAGATTTACCCCTCGGGACAGAGCCCGGAGGAGGCTTTGCAGCTTTGGGCTGGGAGCTGCCGGTGGGTGCTGGGATGGTGACAGGGTTTTCTTCTGCTGGGAGAGTCCCAGAAAGATACCCAGAGGCTTTTTATCTTGTTTCTTCTCTCTGGACACCTTTAATGTGTAGCCAAGGGGAGAAATTTGAAGTGGACTGAGAAAAATAGGAAAGGAGGAGGCACCACGCGGGCGAGGACGTGGGGCCTCAAACCACCCCGAGCATCCAAGGTGATGGTTGCACCACACGCCGGGACCGACGCTGCTCCCCCGCCGGCTTCATCGCTCCTCTGGCCGGGATGGGAGGTGAGATGGGGAGAGGGGAGCCGGTGCCCGGGTGCTGCTCCACGCGATCACCTCCCTGCCCTGGGCCGGGGATGGCATTGGAGGTTAGGCTGAAAAAGGGAGTTATTTTTAAGCATCACATCTCGGCGCAGACTGTCATTACCATTCTCCGTACCTTCCCTGATGGGTGGGGAAGCCAGGGAGGGCTCTCGCAGCTCGGCGCATCCTCGTACCCATAAGGTCTCGGCTGCCTGGGTCCCCCTTCCCTGCGGAGGGGGGATTTGGGGGAGCTCAGCCACCACGGGCTTTGGCATCACGGGCTCCCTCGAGCACTTGGACGAGGCAGAGGGGGCTGCGCTGTGTCTCAGCACTTTGGGGGTCTCGCCCATCACCGCAGCCTTTAAACACTGCGGTTTGTTCCCAAAGTCAGGAGAGCGGCTTTAAAGCCGCAATATTTTAGGAAAAGAAAAGGAAAAATGAGGGGCTTTCTGTTTGTCAGGCATTTCTTGAGTGCTCGTTACAGCCTGGGCTGCTCCCCGTACCAGCTCCCCGGGGCGATGCGCTGCAGATGTGACGTGCAGAAGACCCACGAGATGGGATCCTGGGCACAGGGTGGGATCCTGGGCACAGGGTGGGACCGTGCCCCTCGGATGGGCAATGCAGCCTGGAGTGGGGCAGGACAGCAGCGATGGAAATGCTCTCCCTGGGGAGATGCTGGGTTTTAAATCTCTGCTGGTGGGGTGGAGTTCGTCCCTCCCCGAAGCCCTTTGCAGGTGTTGTTACCCTGGAAGGATAACTGGCAAGGGGGATAAACCTGCAAGGGGAAGGCAGCTGCCCTCAGCGTTGCCTGCGCTTGGCCCTTTTCCATAAGGTGTTTTTGCAGCTCTCCAGTGCATCGCCGAGCTGGCTGGCCGCTGGCTGGCATCTCCTGCGACATGGCACCAGGGTGGCACTGCCAGGCACCAGTGCAGCCCCTCATCCCTTGGCCGGAGGGAGATTTTTGAGGCCAAATCTGCTTTTTGATAGCCTGTGGCACGCTGCGAACTCAAGCTGACAGCACGGTCATGGGAGGGGCAAAGCATCCCCAGGGCACCCAAGGGATGTGGGGACCCGCCTGCGAGAGGGACCCTTCCCAAATTCTGCTTTACCCCCAGCCCAGCTCCGCTGTTGTCGGATGAGTTGGGATTTAGTGTCAAATTTTTGGAGCATCTGTCTGCGAAGGCGGCAGGAGAGGATTGGGGTGGGAGGGTGGAGCCAGCAATATGCCTTCGTGATGGGGGGGATTAGAGAAATATTTGCGTTTATTTTAATGCCAGGCTTATTGCGGGGATTGGAAGCTTAACTCCGAACCTGGCAGCAGAGCAGCCCTCATCTCGCTCTATAACGCTAACGGCATTTACATTTCTATACTGTCGTTCCTCCCCACCGGGAATCGAAACCTCAAAACCGGAGGCGTCGGGTTCCGGTGGA